CCCATGCCGCGCCGCGACCCCCGCGCCCCTGCCGCCCGCCGCCCCGGGCTCGCCGCGCCGCGTCCGCGCGTCCTTAGCCGGGCCACCAAGCGATGCCCGCTGGGCGCCTGCGAAAGTTTGTCGGCTCCCGCTGAAGGGCAGCGGCTCCCCCGCTTCCCCGCGACCCGCTCCGGCCAGGTGAGTTTGCTCCCCGCTCCCGCCAGCGCCCGAATGGGATTTGGGTGACTCGGGGCGGGGGCAGTCGTTCGAGGCCGTCCAGGAGGCGACCTCGCCGCTCTCGGCTGACCGGGGACTCCGCAATTCCTGGGGGAGAGGGCCCGGGATTGGGGGGCCTGGCCGGGCGGGGAGACGGGAGCCCCTGAGCGGGGAAGTTGCCCAGTCCGAAGAGTTTCCTGCCCCGACGTACGGGCTGTTTCCCGGTGCCTCGATTTCCGAAAAGCCGCCCTAAAGGAGCAGAGTTAGTATTGTCCGCGAAGGACTGGATCCCTGCCGTTCCGGGCTGGGGCAGGGGGGGCCGATCAAGGGGAGACCCCAAGACAACAGACAGCCTCCTAACAAAGATTTCCCCCCCCCCCTCCCCAAACTGTGCAGTCTTGGCACCGGCAGAGAGTCTCCGGAGACTCTCGAGGCTTGACTCCTCCTCACCCCGGCCCTCTTTGAAACCCTCCTTGGGTCCTGGAGAAGTTGGGGAACGGCGGGCTTTTATTGATGTGTTTTTAAGGCTCGCCGCGGTGCGGCCAATAAAAGGTTTATGACATCTGACCGGCAGTGAAGGTATGCGAGCTCCCAATTGCCCTGTATACGGGCAGAAGAGCAGTTTCCCCGTTGCCTGGCAACGCCGCTGATTGACGCGGGACGCAGCCAATCTCCGCTCCCGCAGGTCCCCTTGAAATGTTTTTGACAAGTACAGTAGACTGGAGTGGAGCGCGTGCGTGCGTGCGCGCGCGCAGAGGAGGTGGGGGGTTGCCTTCCCCCCCCCCCCCACCCGCGCAACTGCCCTGCTCGGCTTGGAGAGGATTTCTCAACTTTTTAAAGTTCACATTGAGCATATGTTCAGAGCTGGGCCAGTAATGTCTTTGTCAGTTATTTGGAGCCCTCTGGTAGTGGGCAAGAAACTAGCTTTCCTGCTGCGTTTTCTCCGTTAAAAAGGAAAAAAAGATAAGAAAACACAGCAAGTCATAAAAAAACAAGAAGAGGGTGTGCGTGTGGGGAATGTAACCAATAGCAAACCGAAAAATTGTTAGGGAGGTCACTAGTGAATAACTATTTGCGGATCCGGTGGAGCAACCTTATTGGCAGCAGATTAAAAATGTTTGCTTAACTGCAGACTCACATGATCTGGATTCTTTTTTTTCCCCCCCTCTAAAATAGGAGGAAAAAAAGATTTGGTGAATTATGTAGTTAGAGTATAATAGTGGAAAACTCCTCAGCTGTGGTTTCTGGGAACTGTTTTTTAAAATGGAACTGTAGTGATCAGCAGCTCTTGATACCGTTGCTATAAAATGCGGGATTTATAGGGATGCAGTTAACAGTTGGAGAAAATGGGGGGCACAGAAACACAAAGCAGACAAATGATCCAAGGGTGCTGGGCCCCGGTAACCCTCTTTTCTTGACAGTGCTGTTTTTCTAATAAAACCGTATTGCTGGCAATGTTTGTTTAAAACAAAAGAAAACGTGGAGAATAGCGTGTTGGTTCCTTTGGGAAGCTGCTGACAAATAAGCAAATTAAAAAGAAAGAGCAGCATGTTGTCATAGCAACAGTGCAATTAAATTACTTTACTGTCAGCCATGATATAATTTTCCTGTTTGGAAGCTCAGGAGACATAAAACTTTCCTCTGGAGCTGAAGTTGACTTCAGTGGCTGGGTCGTTGTTCTCTTTTGTACTCGACCATGTGGATATTCCTGGATATCAGAAAATTAGGTTTTTTGATGGGGGTACGTTGAAACTTTGAGAGAGACAAGCCTAATTTTGATTTGTTCGTAAAGAAGGTAAAAGAATCAGGCTGGTCTCTGTCTTACCCCCAAATTTAAGATACTAGATTATTCTTTAAAATGTGTTCTGTACTACTCAGGTTAGCCTCCTTTTTTGATGAAAAAATATTCCCTGTGGATGAACCCGAGGTAGGTATCTGAACTGCCCTGCTTCCATGGGACTTTGGTCTCTGTGGATGTTTTCTCTCCCTACCGTTGGACATCTACCAGCGGCTCCAGAGAGCTCCCCTTCAGGCCTTCGGTCTGTAGGTTCTGTTTGTCCACTTCTGGGGAGGGGGGCTGCTACCATTCTCAGGCACCTTTGACTAGCTGTTTAGTGCCCCACATTATGCTTTCTAGAATCTCATTCTAGAGCTTCCCTAGCTGAAGTGGCAGTTATTTTAGGCATGTTATCAGTGGGCATTTTGAGCCTTAGAATGATCATGTCTTTGCTCTTGATGTGTTCATTCTTTTTTCTAGATAGACTGCTTGATCTTACTCAGGGGTGGGGTGGAGGATAAAACAGACACCAAGCGCATTGTCTGAGCACTGTAGACGGAGAGTGGGAGACCTCTTTCATTATCTTACTGTTCTTTCCATCTCAGGTTGAGTGCTTCAGGGTTGAATGTGCCTTGTATCTGTCCGGGTCATTCTTTTTGTGGACTTGTCACCTCCCCCATTGTCTTTCCTCATCAGATATTTTACTCCCTGTTCTAGGTCATTGATAACAATGGGGGAGGGGTAGAGTAGAATTCTGTAGCAGTTTTTGTTGGATTTGCCTTCTTGTCTTGAAGCTCGTGGTTGCTCTCCTGAATTTTTTCACCGATTTTAACTTCAGTTAATGGCTTATCTTCACATTCCCATGTATTTGTGTGGTGTCTGACGTTACTCACTTTTTTGTTCAGATTGTAGTGTCCCAAAGAAATTAAACGTACTTCCTCCTCCAGTTTGAATCCACAGAATTCCTTGGCATCGCTCTTTAGACTTGCCAAATGTTGTTAAAGTTTCAGTTTTAGGTTATGACTTGTGGAGAAAGAAGGAAAAAAAAAATCAAATAAAACACTACCAAATTGATGCTCATCGTAGACATAGTTTTTTTTTTTTTTTTTTTTTTTGGTACGCGGGCCTCTCACCGTTGTGGCCTCTCCCGTTGCGGAGCACAGGGCTCCGGACGCGCAGGCTCAGTGGCCATGGCTCACGGGCCCAGCCGCTCCGCGGCACGTGGGATCTTCCCGGACCGGCGTGTCCCCTGCATCGGCAGGCGGACTGTCAATCACTGCGCCACCAGGGAAGCCCATAGCCATAGTTTTGATTCCTAGGCAGTTGCAGCGGTCTTTGTATGGAAAGAGCTGAACTTAATCTGAACCAACTGGCCTTAAACTTATGGGTATGTCCCTTTTTTTTTTTTTTTTGAGAAAGATAAACAGTGAGACCTGTCACCCAAAGTGACATGGGCTGTGGTTGCACTTATTTTGTGGTGTTTATTGTGCAGCTTGAAAGAATTTATACATATTCATGTATAATAGGTAAACTGAGGCAGCAGGCAATAACCGATTTTTCCAGGGTCACAGTGAGGGTCTTCATAGATCAGGAAGAAGGTATTGTGGGATTTCCCATTCTTTTTTTTTTTTTTAATTGAAGTATAGTTGATTTACAACGTTGTGTTAGTTTCTGGTGTACAGCAAAGTGATTTTATACGTGTATATATATTCTTTTCTGTATTCTTTTCCATTGCGGTTTATCATAGGATGTTGAATATAGTTCCCTGTGCTATACAGTAGGCGTATCCATTCTGTGTATCATAGTTTGCATCTGCTAATCCCAAACTCCCAATCCACCCCTCCCCCTCCCATTCTTTTCTTGGCATGTGCACATTAAAGGTGCTGTGAACATTTCCTGTCTTGTACCTAAGGGGTAACAGGTCATTGTGCTATGTGCGTGGTAGACCGAATTTACTAGTGTTAATGGGGCATCTCTGTGTGGCGGAAGGTGCGTCAATGTCACTCAGTGTGGGAGCTGTGAGGGCATGTTCCTAAGTGGTAGGGGGTCCACAGAGGTGGCAGGGGTGGGAGGGGGGCATAATCATTAGGGAGGGCATGGCTGCCTCTCTGTTTTGGGTTTCACCGCCTCGTCTTCTCTCTGTCATGTGTTTCCCAGGAGCCTTCACGTAAATGGGTCCAGTCATGCCTCCCAGTAAGAAGCCAGAAAGCTCAGGAATTAGTGTCTCCAGTGGGCTGAGTCAGTGTTACCGGGGCAGCGGTTTGTCCAAGGCCCTTCAGGAAGACGATGACCTCGACTTCTCTCTGCCTGACATTCGATTAGAAGAGGGGGCCATGGAGGATGAAGAGCTGACCAACCTGAACTGGCTGCACGAGAACAAGAACCTGCTGAAGAGCTTTGGGGACTCGGTCCTGCGGAGTGTCAGCCCCGTCCAGGACCTGGACGATGACACGCCCCCATCCCCTGCCCACTCCGACATGCCCTACGATGCCCGGCAGAACCCCAACTGCAAGCCCCCCTACTCCTTCAGCTGCCTCATATTTATGGCCATCGAGGACTCTCCAACCAAGCGCCTGCCGGTAAAGGATATCTACAACTGGATCTTGGAACATTTTCCGTATTTTGCAAACGCACCTACTGGGTGGAAAAACTCAGTGAGACATAATTTGTCCTTGAATAAGTGTTTTAAGAAAGTGGACAAAGAGAGGAGTCAGGTAAGCCTCTGGGTCTGGAACTCAAGTTTTCCTTTTTGAAATTAAACATGTTTCTCCATTAATAAAAAAATGTCCAGGAACGTAAATTCACCACAGGGAAGTAGCAGTTATAAAGGCGGGTAATTCTGTCTCATTTCATTCATTTAGATAATTGTCAGGAACTTCCTTTTCCTGTGTTTGGTGTTTCTAAAGCCAGATTGAGGGTTTCCCACTGGGGAACATGGTTACAAAACAGTGGTTTACAGACTTGATTGGTTCTGAGTATCACTGTCCTTCAGAGTCGGTGGATGGGTCCCCCTTTGGTTTTGGAGACCAAACAAAGGTCTGTATTCTGATGGCAGCCATGAACCATGAGGTGTGTGTGTATACATACATACATATATATATGTGGGTATATCTGTGGGTGTGTATATTTGAGGAAAGTTGCCACTGAGGGCTGGAAAGAAATGGCATCTATTTTCGTTCTGAATATTAACTTGGAGAAAGGCAGCTGGTCCAGGATTCTGGAATAAATGGACAGTGGTGGACATTGCGGGGGGTGATTTGAGCATCCTTATATACTCCAAGACCAAAGACACGAATTGCCCAGATGACTCTCTTGAAATCGGGTGTCTACAAAGTGTTTGGCAGCTTTGAAACTCCCTCTGAGTATGGAAGGTGGGCTGAGGGTAAGACTGACTTTCAGAAGGTGGAATTTTGACTTTAAAGCCTTTAAAGCTCCAGCTTCGTGGTTTGCTAAAGGAAGACAGTTTTAATAATTTGCTTTATTTTTCTTGTAAGGAACACAATAGGTACGGTAGAAATAGGATTGACTGTTAGAGCTGGAAATCAAAATTGTGACCTAGCTTGGGGTTCTGAAAAGTAATGTAGCCACAGTTAAAATAACTTGCCAGAAAACGTACTCTCCACAAAGTTTTCGTGTTGCCCTATTCTCACGGTTTTGGTTTCCGTGTTAGTGGTGCTGTGGTGTGGAGCTGGCAGTCTGCTTTCCATCCTTTTTAAAGTTCAGGTTCGTTCTCAGGACCCCTCTGGAATGGGCTCAGCAGCTGTGCAGGGCTGGGGCCTTTCATTTCTTTCTTTCCAGGAACAGGTATGTGCTTCCAGTTGAATCTTGAGCCCGCGAAGATTCTACTTGTCCTTGCCCTGGAAGACTACAACTGTGGCAGTGGTGAAGCCCTTTTTTTCCTTGCTGCCACTGGACACGTTTGTCTGCAGATGCTGTTCACCCAGAGTTTATGTTAAGATGGAGCGTGGGGGCTTCCCTGGTGGCGCAGTGGCTGAGAGTCCGCCTGCCGATGCAGGGGATGCGGGTTCGTGCCCCGGTCTGGGAAGATCCCACATGCCGCGGAGTGGCTGGGCCTGTGAGCCATGGCTGCTGGGCCTGCGCGTCCGGAGCCTGTGCTCCGCGGTGGGAGAGGCCGCAGCGGTGAAAGGCCTGCGTACCGCAAAAAAAAAAAAAAAAAAAAAAAAAAAGATGGAGTGTGGGCATGCAGGGTTTGAGGGGGGTGTTGCCCAGGAAGAGGAAAGATGTGGAGACTGCGGAGCTTTGCCGCTGATCGTGGGTGCAGGTGGTGCCCGGATCCAGCGTGCAAGTGTGAACACTCCTGAGTGCTCTGGGCCCTGCCTTCCCAGTTACGTACTTATTTTTATGTAACTGTAACAATCGCGGGGCACTGCTGTTGTCCCCAGGTGTCCATCACTTGCTTTCCTCCCTTCCGCATCTGAGCATGGGCATCCTAAGACCAACCTCTGGGCTTGGCTCTGCTGAGTGTTTTAAGATCATTCCTTGAACTTAGAGAAGATTCGCCGCTCCCCTGTAAAGAACCAAGTCTGTGGTCTTAAAAACTTCCATATGGGTGGGTCCTCAAGAAAGGGAAAATCTTGGGAAGCAATTCCAGGGTTAGAAGGTAGAGAAGAAAGGGCTGTCAGGTCCGTCAGAGCAGTACGTCCCTGATGAAGCAATGATCAGGGCTTTAAGTTGGTGTGAAATGATCCTGCAAGTTACCACATGCCTGGGTCGGCGTGTTTGTCATCACGCCGGGGCACATAATAGTAATTTAGCAAATGCACACTCTGAAATATTAAACAAGACCAGCTCCAAAATATGCAGAGAGACCTGGGAGTATTATTCATCAGCCTGGGGAGTGACAGGCGGGCGCTGGATGGCACCCTGGCAGGAGCGCCATCACCCCCTTGCACCCCTTGCCCCGCTCTGGGAGTCATGTTTTCCTGGGGTGATGGTTGTCATTCTGCAGATAGCGCCTGTAGAAAGGGAATGGTTTTAAGGGCTTGAGTTTGTTTATCTTGTGAAATGTTGAGTTCTGGCTTCCTGGGCGTACAGACCTGTATTAACATGCTTCTGATCAGATGCCAGTCACTTTTGTGGCTGGGCGTTTGTTCCCAGGGTTTGTGATGCTGTGAGAACAAAGCAAGGTGTGTGAACTCCCCATTTTACTCCTCTTTCCTCGGATAACCCTGGGGCCAGCTGCTGGCTGCCCTGAGAGGGACAGACTCCCGGGTACCCTCAGGCACTGGTCTCGACCCCTTCATTTGTGGTTTTCTCCAGTGGCCAGCTGAGTAAGGCAAAGGCATTTCCCTCACACTCTGCCCAGGGGAAGCTCCTCGGGCTCTCAGGTAAGCTCATGATTTCCCAGAGGATTTTACTTGGCTGTAGCTCCCGTGCTGAGGTTCTGCTGCAACACAGTGTCTAAATGTGCCCAAATGTTGGTGAGAAAGATGCCAGGGGAAGGGGAGGATGGAAGCCTTGCGAGCTGTGTTTGCAGAGTTAGCCATTCCGCTTTTTGTTTTCTTTTTAAAAGTGTGGGACACGGTTTTAAACTTGGCATAAGCATGAGAATGCAGAATGTGGTGTGATCCTTGTCCCTGGGGGCTTGGGACAGCCCCCTGCTGCACAGCTGCTTGGCTGGGGTGCTGGAGAGGGAGCAACCTGGGTGGCACCAGAATCACCTGCGGCACTTACACACAACCGCCACTTCTTGGCCCCTTCCTGAAGACTCTGATTCAGTGGGTTTGAGGTGGGCTGGGGAAAACTGAAATTCTGATATGCTTCATAGGTATTTCTGATTTACAGCCAGATTTGGGAATCCTTGAACTAGATCCCCTTTTGGGTTCTTTCCAGTGCTGAGATTTCATCAAGGACATATTCTCATGAATGGGTAAGTTAGGTGAGAATAGAGTTTTGTTTTTTTTTTTCTTCCTATTTTATCTCTAACAGGACTTTGAAAGATAGAGGTTTTTTGTTTTGTTTTTTTTTGTTTTTGTTTTTATTCCAATCATGGAAAATTTCAAGCATAGATGGTAGAGAGAATCAGTCACTGTATGGTAGTGACTGCATACAGTAGTACAGTGACTCTGTATAACCACCATCACCACCCACACCAGATTTATTAGTTAACAAGGGCTTGCCTCTCTTACTTCGTTCATTTTTTTTTTTTTTTTTTTTTTTTTTTTTTTTTTTTTAATTTTTTTTAGAA